TCAGTTGCAAATATTATAATATTATAACTTACTGTCGTCGTTCTACAATATATTAAATTAAGCTTTTTCTGCATCCGTTCCGATCAAACAGTCCCGTCTTCGAAGCAGGTGTCCCACCGTGGTTTAATAAGACGACTAAATATTACAACAATAGGGAAAACAAGCTTTTCAAAAAATTTTCGAAAAGTGCTTCTCCTTCCGACTATTTCGCTTAGTCAGTGGCAAGACATAGATTTAATTCCCTCAAGCACCAATATTATTGCAGATACCTTAACAAGTGCAAGAAGAAGTTTGATAAAGTGAAAAATTGCGAAAAAAAAATTTTAATAATTGAAAAGTTTAAAAATTACAAGAAGAAGGTAAAAAATTTATATAAAATTAAATAAAAAAAAAATGTAAAATTATAAAAAAAATTTTTTGTATTAGAAAAGTTTAGAGAAAAATAAGTTTATTAGGACATATATCATTTAAAAAGTTAAATAAGTGTAAGAAATTTGATAATAAAAGTTGAATAAATATAAATAATTTAAGCAAATAAAAGTTTAAGTATAAAAAAGTGTAATATAAGTAATATAAGAGCATTGACGGTAAGTACATTTACTTATTGTTTTCAATTTCATATATTTCTTTTTTTGCTAAGGAGACCCATCTGAGATTTACATACTTTTCCTGGGAATCCCGTTGGTGTCTCCTTGTTTGCTAGTAATAATCGAATTAGAAGGTCCACAACAAAAGAAAGCAGTTTACAATTGGCGGCAATACAACGATAAGTATGTGTGCCGCATATTCGTTATTGTTTTTTTATATTTTTTGGGCTTTTTATTTCTGAAAAAGCGAAGTATAAGAATAAGTATACGAATAATTAATTAATTTACTTTTTTTTTATCAAATTTATTTATTTTCATTATTTTTATTATTTTACATACATACATTACAATACGGTTTTGTACTTATATACTAAATGGTACTCATTGTGTGGTGTGGTGTTTTTTTGAAATTTGGTTTGCTCGTAGTTTTTTTTTTATTTTGTTTCTATTGCATTTAAAACTTGATTTATATAGGTATACATATCTTCATATATATATTTCTATCTATTTCTTAAACGCGGATTAAATTTATATATAATTATATATTATAATGCATATGCAACATGTTCCTACTGCCCACGCGGATAGAGAATATATATGAGGGATTTATTTCATTTAGGAAAGTAGCAAAGCTAGCACAAATTACTAGCCTTCGAACGAAACACTTAACCGGATGAAAAGGACACGTCTCACTAATTTCATCTAATAAATATAATAAACGAAGAGATGAAAAATGATTGTAATAGATAAGCATTAATATATTTATTACAAAATAATATAAATATTAAACATCCCAGTGATATAAAACTATTAATGCGTGATCATGAAAAACAATGAATTGTTCTAAAAGAGGGGAAGAAGCATCTTAAAGGCCTAGTAAAGGTCAAGCAGATATTTCTAAAAAAATCAAATACTTTGCATATGAAGCTTAAACTCATTCTGCCCAATTAGATATTGATGAACTAATAATGGTGAAAAAAATGTTGAGGAAAAAAGTTCAATTAAGTTAAATATAAACTGGCTTTCAGCCCAAAAAATGCGAGGATTTTATTTTCAATACTATGTTGCAAAAGTTTAGAATTTTACAAATTCCACTTTTTAGTCTTGTTTTTTTGATTTTATTTTACACAACTTTTTTTTTCAAATTTTCATGTTCTTCTTCAATCTTCACACACTTGTTTTGCACAACTCTTAAGTAAATTCCTTGACTTTCCAAGAAAAAATCGTTGGTTGGTTTTTTTTTTTTTTGTAAATGACAACTAGGTGTTAAAAACACGTCATATTCTCATGAAGTGAAAGAGGAGAAGAAAAACATTATTCATTTGAAATCATATGTCGTGAATTTTTTGTTAAATCATCACACAATTCAATCAACTGCCATTTCCCCTTAAACCATTCGTATTTTCTGTTAAACCATCACATTTTCGATAAATTGACAACCCATGCGTTGGCAGTTTTTGCACCTCATAGGATTTGGAATGTATAATTCTACTTTATATTTATACCACGCCACATTAACTGTTCGCGGTAATCGATAGCGATCAAAGGTTAAAATAATCCTTCCTGTAGGAGAGCGAGTTTTTCCGTCATCGTTCAGTTTGGTGAATTTATATACTTCAGTCACTCCTTGATTGCCCATTTCGCAAACAATTTCATCTTCCGACCCATACTTTAAGCACATGGCATAAATTACGGCTAAGGAAACACGTACGGTATCCGCCATGATAAGTTTTAGTAATAAACACACAAAAGGTTCAATATATTTTAATAAATTTGAACTCTTTTAAAAACGTATACAGGAATTAAGAAATAATATAAAAGAAGAAATTGCAAAATTTTTTTGCACAAAGAGAAAAACATGACCACAGCGCTTACACAGAGTTGCCGTTCAACGCCTTCCTATTTTATAAATTTGTTTCATACGATAATTGTATTTGTTCATAAAATAAACTGTTTAAGCTCCTTTTGATAATGCTTCGTATGTGTGAACTTGAGATATATACGAAAAAACTAACGTCTCGAATTTGACTTTTGTTGGCAAAGCTCTTTTTCCGAAAAATCTTCATATATGCGTATGTGAAATTGCAGACAATAACAATATCCTCTTGTTTAACATTCAAACCAAAAAAAAAACGAATCTCCGTTATATTAAGTTCTACTTCTCCGGCTTTTTTTTTTTATTTTTGCATTATTTGCTTAATTAAGACAAGGTAAAGAAAATAACCAAAAAATTCTTAAATTCACTTTTTTCCTTTTATTCTGAAAAACACAAGACAAAATATTCCAAAAAAATTTCTCGTCTAGTGGTTAAGTTTCCGTAACTTAAGTCTGCAGGCAGTCTTTTGCCAATTTTTGGTTAATAGATTAAGGTTCACTTCTTTTTATAATAATTTTTTTGTTCTTTTCTAATATTTTAAGTTTAGCAATTTCTTTCTGTTCTTTACTAATATTTTAATATTAACAATTTTTTTTTTTTTACATATATTATTTTTCAATTCCCAACTCTTTCTACCAAACTTGCATAATTTTTCTGTTCTTTACATCAATATATCCTTTGGCTTTTACTTATTTTTTTTCTGTTTTTGTTTTTTATTAAGCAGACATCATTATTCCAATAAAGTAGTTGTAGTTGTAATGTGAAAATCTGAACAACTTTAGCCGTACATAATTAAATTTCTAATTTGAAAGCATTTTATTAGCAACTTCCTGAGTTTTTATAAATAATTTTATAATTTTCTTTTTTCTCCTATTTACTTAATTTCTCTTCCAAACAGATTCCTTTATCCGTATAGTTTTTCCTTTCTTTCTGTCTGCTCCAGTGGCGTTTACTTTGGCAAGTTGTTGCATTTGTGTTGTCTTTTTTAATAAACCCTCTGTTATTTTTTTTTATTATAAAACATTCTTCTCTGCCAAAACTTTTCATAATACTTTATTAATATTTCACGACCATTCGTTTATAAATGTAATATTTTACCAATAATTTTCTACATTGTTCACGTAATGATAAAAAAAATTCTTTTCGCATCTTGTTTAACTAAACATTCCGCTGCAGATATTCTTTAGCAATCCAAAATCATTTCTCAAGTCGATCTCTTCACTTTCTCTTTGCATAACGGTAAGCCGCTATTCCTGCAAAACGTTCTTTCGGCTAAAAGCAGGCCGTATTACGATCTTACTTACTCTATTGTGATAGAGTAGTGGTGAAAGCAGACAGACAAAACCACTATGCTGCATTTGTTCGCGGACGTTACAAAAATCATAATTGTTTCGAATCTTCTATTCGTTATAAGTATATATATCCGTGATATTTAGTTCGGATAATTTTTTATTTTTAAAAAGTTCGTACGTAAAATTAAAGATTCAGTTTACATGCATTTTGTAAGCAAACGTTGAACGCTTCTATACATAATTACTGGTCTCAGTGAATAAAAAAATTGTGCGTTCAAATTTGTACTTCCGGAAGAGTTTTACACCCGCAATTCCAATACTAAACCAAATACATTAAGACGTTTCATATAAACATTTTTAATTCATGGAATATTTATGGTCTGGGATATTTAAAGTCTTGGAATTGATGGTCGGGGATATTAATGGTCTGAGAATTTATGTGCTCTCTCCATTCTCAACAAAAAGGGATTTTTTTAAATAAACGGGAAAAACCAGTAACGGCATTTAGCTGTTTTAGTGAAAATTCAACTCAATGCAATTCAATTAGTTTCAACAAAGCCATACTATAAATTCACCAATTCATATTTTATGATAATAAGCCTTATTAAACATACTTTTGTTTTCACAAAAATATTCTCTTTTATTAATAATAATAAAAAAAAAATTTTCTGCTGTACTTATTTTATTAGTGCTGGTAACGCTGGTCCGTTTGGCTGTTTGGCACCACTAGAGAGAGGAAGCTTATGTGAAATAATATACTCAATGCAAGAAATTAACACACAAGAAAGAAAAGTTCTGTCGTATTTTAAAGAAAATATTTCAATTCATTTATAAAAATATAAATCAATAATAATAAAAATATAATATAAAAATATAATATAAATCAATTATATATGCTCCGTTATTTGTTACAGCCTGTTATCATGTGAATTCCTGTTTTGTAGAAGTTCTCGTCCTTCGAGTGAAAATAGTCAGCTATTGCCTTAGAAACACTTTCAAAAGACGACAGAGCTAAACCTTCAACCTAATACAATTAATGTGAAATTTTGATACGCTTACATTCCTAATTTTTTTTTTTGACAAACAAACGGAAATTGATAATAACTTCTGTCTTTTAAAGTTTTCCAGTGCAGTTTTATTTTCGTTTTTACTGCGTCCGAGTTGCTATTTTCACTGCAATTTCAGACGACTTCAAACAATGTTACCACTGTTTAACAGCTGTTTCTCTTCGTTCTTCAGTATCTGCCATTTTATGAAAAAGTGAGTGTAATTTAGTCGTGTCGCGTGAACTAAAGAAAAAACAGCAAAAGGTCTTGTTGAAAGTCTAGTAGCTATAAAAGTGAAATTCCAGAAATCTGCTAATTCAAATGAAATAAATTTCCTTAATATAAAGCAGTATTAAATAAATGTTATTGCGTAAGGGACGGCGAACATTGATAATTTAAAAATACAAAAAATTCAGACAAAATGTGTTAATTGATTGGCACGGAAGTGATGAATTTGGGAATTAATATAAAATAAAATAAAAAAAGAAGGAACATCTAATTTTTTCTACATACAGAAAATCGATTGGAAATAAGTTTGCCTAACCTTTAAGATTTCATCATCATTTCTCGATGGTGAAAAATCGAGCATAGCATAGCAACATAACGCGAAAAGTGAAAACGGACGGAAAAGAATTGTTTCGAAAGAAATAGAAAAAAAAAGTACACAAAAATAACTTTGAAAGTTGTGAGAAGAAAATGTTTAACAACAGAACACGCATTTCTAAAATAGACAGAAAATCAATACGAAGTCAATGGAAGATTGAAAACTTCTCAGCCGCTTCGCATAAAAATACTGAAAATTTTAGTTTAACTAAAGAAATTTGTGTTAAAAATAAAGACTATCTTTGATTTGTAGTAAATCTTTATTAAAACAACCATAAAATACCAAAGATAAAGAGAGAGAGAAAGAGAGAAAAAAATTGTATGCTAAGTAGTTCAATATTTATTCAACCCAAAAATAAAATAAAAAAAAAACCCCGCAACGGTCGTATTATACCTCACCACTAAGTTATGCATACATACAAAACTAAAACACTGTGTATGTCGAGCAAAAGGTTTTTAATATAAGCAACTGCACAAAAACAACAGCTAATAAATGAACTATGCCACAACAACAACATCAGCATAAGCAATGCCTTAGTTGCAAATATTTATGATAGAAAAATAACAGTAATACAAAAAACTAAGTAAAGAAAAACTCTTAAAAAAGAAAAAAAAAGCAAAGAAAGAACTCAGAAAAGTCCAGAGCTGTGCAAATTAAGCAATCGTAAAAGTTTCCCAAAAACGAAATAAAGTTCCTTCTTGTGATACACACATCAATAAACCCGACAGTAGTTTATAACGCTTTCATAAAAGGTCGTCAAAATGTCCGCTATGAGTTCGACGAAATCGGCAAAGGTTTCCAGCAGCAAACTGAGTTTAATATCTCATATCAAATATGAGCATTTAGTGGCAGGCATTTCGGGTGGAGTCACTTCCACATTAATTTTGCATCCTTTGGATTTAATTAAAATTCGATTTGCTGGTAAGATATTATTTGTTTTTTGTTTCATTTTTAAGAAATTAACAAGCGCATGATTCATGCAATAATAGTTTTTCGCGGTTTTTTAAATATTGTGAATTTTACTTTCAATTTTATTTTAAACAACGAACTAATCGTTAGTGATTACGAATAGAATACAAAGAAAATAATTAACCAAAAGAGTTCTACTCAGGTGTTTAATGTGTGTTTGCTGATTGTTTCAAAGTTAAAGCAACTTTGCTTTCGCTTTTTATCTTGGCCTAAATACTATTATACTTAAATTTGTCATTCTTATGCATTTGTAAGGCTAAAAAGACTTCCCCTCAAACATATCGAAGCAGAAGATAAGGAATTTCAACACATGTACATTGTGTTGTTTTGACCTTACAGGTCACGCTAATAACCTTGTGGCACGCAGATTAAGTATTTTTCCAATGAATGCCCACGGCTTTGAGATGACGAATACATAGGAATTGATTACCTTTTTAAATGAGTGAAATCGCAAGCGATTCGAACGAAGTTTTTTAGCTAAAATAGTAACTCACGTAACGTATATATATTTCTGTATATTTTCAAAGATTATCTTTTCAGTATTTAAAAACAAAAGGTTGCAACAATGCTACCTTAAACGCGAAGTCGCGTTTAGGGGAAAAAACATTTAAATATTGAGCCAGAGTGTTTTCTTTTCTAACCTATGCCAAAACGTATGGCACATTTTGCACATTTCGAATTTTGATTACTCGGTTCTTTTTAACAAAACTTTTTACACTCAATAGTCATTTCATATGGAGGTTCACCGATTTAAAGATAATCAGATAAAGATAATAAAGAGCTCTTATACCTTCGTAGTGACTAGTCTTTTTCGGTAAAAACTCCAATTTATGTTATTGGTTTTTTTTTATTCACTCCAATATATTTTACTGGTTTTTTTATTTTCTCTGCCACTTGTGATACAAGGATATATTAAGTCTGTGCTTGTGCTTGCAACACCTTAGCTTCGCTATGCCTCCACCCGCCTTTATTCTTCCAATCTAAAGGTAGCAAATTTTTAAAGTACTTTGAAAAAATTTGTCCCATCGTCATGTTTTGGACCGACAAATGAAGATGGCAAATAAACATGTCTTGTATTTGAGATCCACTTCAAGATAAACATAGCTTTTTTCATCTGTGCCATTTTTGTTATTATTTCTTAAATTAAATTTAAAAAATTATAATTACAACACAGGTTTCCAACTCACATGAGTTGCATTGATGCTTATCACCAGGCGCCAATTTCATATTTGTCATGCCGGTTGATTACATAAAAAATTTAATTTCATACAATAATTCATGCCTAGCTTTTATAATTACTTCGATGATAATTTTCATTTGCACGTAGTAGTATATGCGTTTGGTGCCTTAAAATCTCTCAAACTAATCGAATCGAATTCTGGAAAGTAAGTTGATTGACGAAACACTTAAGCGATGAGGTTATCAGAAAAGTTTTCATTTCTTCTGTAATTGTGTTGTGGGTAGAATTTGAGATTCCCAAGCATTTGCTTGCTTGTTGATTAATAGTGAAAAGTCCTTATCAGTTTTGAGATTTCATTTGTAAATTGCGCCTAACACGCGCCGGCTAGTTACGGTCACTAGGCAGTAAGAAGCAGAATTGTCAAGGAAGTTGAGGAAAAACGTAACAAATTTCGCTTAGCTTAAAAGGAAACCTGCGAGAAAAGGAAAATGCATTCATTTGCATTTAGGATGTGCGGGACGGATGGAAAAGATCATAACTCTAAAGTCAACTTGTTATGAAAAGTATATGATCCGTTAGGTTCTTTTACACTTGCTATAAAAAAGTTTAAAATGTGTCATTTTTCTTGAAAATGACGCGACTTAGTTTGAAAGACTCTTGGAAGAAATGAACGGTTATGGCGAGCCATCCGTTCTCTAGTAAACTGATTTTTTTTTTTCAGAAATAGAGATATGTACTGTTATTTTCTCCGTGGACTCGTTTTACGCATTCAAAATACGAAATAATTAGCTCAATGATAGCACGCAAATAATCAAGTCTGAGTTTAATCTAATTAATAGAATGGCGACCATAATAATAAAATCAACATATTCATAATAGTAGTGCTCCAAGTTAACGAGCTTGTTCTTCTGCCCGTAAAAATCGTGCTTGCGATTACGTGCCAAACCAACTTTCAGAATTGCTTTCTAGATTAATAACTCGGTTCAGCTGACATTTTCCAATCTATTATCGCGTTTGTCTTCTATTGCCCGAATAGTAGTAAAAGTTGGATTGGAAAGGTGAAGCCTGGCATACGTAGAGCTTGCTTGATGACGAGATATCAAGAGTAAAGATAAATGTCAACAATTCACAAACATACATACATACCGAGAAAATATTTCTAGATTTCCTACAGCGACTTATGTTTCCATGGGACTTTGTTGGGGGGTACCGAATAAAGGAATGTGCCTCTTGTTTTTTAAATGCATGCAGCACGAACGACTCCCATGATTGAGCATGTTTTTAAGTTAATATACAGATTTTTTAGTCTTCAAGCACTTTGTATGAGTAATATAAAGCAACGTATGTTGCAACCCAGAAGTAAAATCTTGCTTTATGCACATTGATTGATTCATGCATTAGTAATACTAATGCCTCCGTACAAAAAATTCAAAATTCAGGTATAATCAATTAGTGACACATTTGAGGAATTTATTATTGAAGATGTTTGCTGCAATGGTTAACAAACAATAGTCTGCCAGGTTATAGTTTAAGTGTACAAATTTAAAAATGGTTGTCATGCTCTAAAAACTCAAAAACGAGATGATTTTCATTTTGAATTGTGGTCGACTATTAGTGATCATATTATATAAAATTATTTGTTTTTAATTTTTTCGAAACTTTACTCGTCCAGTTGATTTCAGACTTACTTCCTTTCTTCAATGATTGTTTGAACAAAAACAATCTAGAGTTCTTACAGAATTCTCCTTTTTAACACTGTTTTATCTACGTAAAGCGTGAAAATAAACACATGTTTTTTGTTTACGATTGGCATAACTGAGGTTATTCATAAAGCTAAAACTTGGCATCACCTACACAGTCATATGGGGTTAAAGCAATTTTGTAAAATTGTATTTGTCCTATATAGTTCCAGATACAACGCTACAAAAACGACCTGCTGTTTCTTTACACCTACCTTTACAGTAAATTTGTAGTGTTAATGTTACAAATAATAAACTACCGATATGTGCTAGTTGAAAAACTGGTCACCACTAAAAGTGTTTGCAGTGTGTACAGTGAAATTATTAAATCATTTTAGTACATGTTTGACTTGTTTATTGGAAAAAAAGTTACAAAAAATATATAAAACTACATAAAGTACTTGTCTAATGTATTTTATATATATAAGAATTTACCTTGTTTGACTGGTTGCAAAGCAGATGTAGCCTACAACACAAAAGGTTTGCCGGGAAAATTTACTCATTAATTTATATACACAACGATAGACAGCTGCGTGATGTTATACAATTACAGTTTCATATTCTTTATTGTATCCATTGTAATTACTTGTACATTTCCATTGCTATTGTTAAGCTTTCAAAGAGTGTCATATTGGCATTATGAACTACCCATACAAGGCCAATGGAGAAATTATTCGGCTTAGAACGAATTTTTTTGTTACTCATCATACCAAACTTTAAAATATAGTTTTTAATTAACCAGACTGAACTAAAATTAATTGCAAAAGTTTTTCTCTATTGAAGCTAAATGAGGTGGGTCGCGCTCTAATCAAAATTGGATAAATTATTTTCAGAATCACTTTTCGAATCGATTTAAACTTGGCTGTCCTTTCATTTTTATTTCTTCAACCTGAAAATCCATCTATTTGATATATTTTGATGAAATTGAGTACGCTGACGTATTTTGATCCACGCTATTGAAAATGTTGCGGATCGGGCAACTTTCTTGACAACTTCCCACATAAAGCCTTTCTTTGAAAAGTCGTTACGTGAATAGCAGCATTAAACGAAGTGACGTAAGATTTTTAACCGTGGGCCGCGAATTAACATATTGTTTTAACTTGTTTTTAATTAGAATTAAGTAAAGTTCTCTCTAATCCCGTTTTCAACTTTTCAGATTACCGAGGATAGTAATTATCATTTTTTCAAAAAATTGCACGCATTTTGTAATTATGCGAGTATTATTGTTATTTCAAAAATAAAAGTTCTGTGTTACTATAAAATTTCATCCAAGTAGTCCCCATAACCACTTGAATATACTTGAGATCCCTACATAGGACTTCCATCCTTATGGCAATATCTATACAAATTTCAACGAAAAATGCTGTACAAACTTTGGTGGTATATAAAACACAGGCGGGCAAACGTCTTCAGCAAGCTAGGCAAACTGTTAAGAATAAAGAATAATTTTTAAAATCTTGTATTAGCTAAAAATAAAAAATTTGATAAAAATTAGATAAAAAACACTATATGACGTACGTCGACGTATGCGTATCTTCTTCGACGCTGTTACATACGTGTTTGGAAAACAGATATAAACTGATTGCTTGCATGCGAACATATGCTTTTTCCGTCATATGCGGGGTTGGATAGCAGACGGAATATTGCGTAACATACATATACAATTCAATGTCTTTAACACTTGGGTGCTAAGGTAAATATGAAATTTCAAAATTTCATTATTATCTGAACTTCTTCGTTTAGGTTAACGACACTTAAATTTGTCTTTGGTGTATACAATTTTCAAATCGAAAAAGTAGCTCCAATGGACAGACAATTGAGTGAATTACGTTCATCAAGAATGCTTGTTCATACACTTGTCTTTCAACACGTAACTAATTTAATATGCCGGCTGAATGTATTACGACCGTCAATTAGTTAATTTGTCCGACAATGCAAACATGCGTGTTTTTCTCTTTTTCGCTTTAATATTTATTTTTGTTTTGATTATTCTCTTCAAGTTTTTATAAGTGCATCGCAGGCGGCACACATAT